GGCTGCGTGACCATCTGAAATGACACTTTTTGTCCGTTTGGTCAATGTTTGTGTCTCGTGCCATAGTCGACGAAAATACAAACAAACAGGTTATATATGAGTTTGAGACCAAGAATGGTGTAACTCGACCTGTCCGATTCAAAGACTCCGAGGGCGACCATGAAATTAAACGGAAATTAGCTAGGAAGGAATATAAAAATTTTTTACTTCATGCAATGTTTTATTTCTGTGCCGTCTTCAAGTATGCCCCAGTACTTACGCTTGGAGAGGACATGAACTTCGGTGAAAATTTTGTCCAATTTGAATTGACCCATCTTTTCACCGACCATTCCCATTTCAATGAGTTTGTTATAGCCTTCTTCGTTCGTCATGAGTGCGTCAATGTTCTCATAGTAAACCTTCACTTTGGATTTGACTTCGGAGAAGAATTTGTTGTAGTTGTCAAGGACTGCCTTTGCGAACTGAGGATAGGACCAATGTTCGACAATAGGTTTTAATGTGGTTACTAAGCCACTTTGACCTTGAGTGAATTCGTACTTCAAAACAAAAGGAGAAAACCTTTCAACAAAGTTGTCGACCTTCTCATAATGTTTACTCTTCATCTCTTGAGGTTTCTTTATGGAATATCCCCATGTCGAATTCATAAGCAATTTGAGTGTCATTGCAAGTTTGGGGTTTGAAGCTTTCCTAATATCATACAGTTGTTGTATGACTTTTCCAACTGTATAGTTCCTTCCCGAGAACTCACCATCTTCGTTTGGAATTCCAGTCGGGATATATTGGACGAACCTCATGTACGCAGCGTTAAGGTCGACATAGTATATCTTTTCATCTGAGTCGAACTTGTCGCATCCAATCGGACCAGTTCGTGGAAATTCAAGCGAGTCTCTTATCTTCTGAGAAACTTCTCCTGTTATCTCATAAACATCGTCGAAGCAACCTGTTTCATATAAAACCTTCTGACCTAACTCAGATGCTCTCCAATACAATTTGACGTCATTGGATGCTCAATGGAAGTTTGTTTATAGCATCTTGAAGTTCTTGCAACCTCATTGGAAGTTCTTCTGGTTCAGGTTGGTATCCGAACAATCCAACTCCTTTTGGAACTGTGTACTTCTTTTGTACTAGAACTTTGTCTGGAACAACTTTTGGTCTTGCTAACAGTGAAAAGTTTGTTTCGTCTTTTGGTACAAAACTTTCTGTCAGCTTGTCATCTGGAATTGGTTCCAACAAACCTTTCTCGAAAAGAATGTTAACAGCTCTGACAATGTTGCACTTGCCTTTTCCGAACAATGGGTTTGTAAGACTTTCGTTCAACATGAAGTGGTTGTGGACAATTACAATCTTCAACCATGGTAAGTCTTTGTCAACAACATAGTCGTCATGTGAAGAACCTTTCTCAGTATGTTGACTCGGATATTGACATTTGCCAACGGTGCAATTTTTGCCAATTGACCTCTGAGAATGTACCTTGTCTTCACACATGACTCAAGATACTTCATTTTCTCTTCTGAAACAAGACCAGAGTTCCTGAGACATGTAAGAATACAAGGTTCATTGACAATTGTTTCAATTGAATTGTAAATTCCATACCTTGTCAAGTCAATGTCAGACTTATTTATGAACGGGAAGTATCCAGCATGTTGTCTGACTGCTTGAGGGTTAGGTTGGTACCATTCAAATTTTACACTTGCAATTCCTTCAATTGCATTCAAAATGTCTGAGTCGGAGTCAACCATTTGTTCTCTCTTTGTAGTCTTGAAAGCGTCAAGAAGCATTGCAGCTGTTGTGACATTGCCATGCGCATAGTAAATGACCGTCCAAATCTGTTATGGTCAATCTGAGATTGTATCCTTTCTTATTTCCGTCTTGATTGGCAGCAAGTACTCCCATGAAGCCTTCTTTGTTCTTTCCTTCGTCAAAGTTTACTGTAAAGGTTCGACCAGATGTAATTTGACTTCTAACTTCACGGTACTTTTCATATGCATATCTTGTTCTTTCCATGGGAGCATGTGCGTCTTCACCTTTTCCTTTTTTCCTTCTCAAAGGATGCAATTGTTCGTCATGTTTCCAGTAGAATCTGGCAAAGCCGTCGTGTCCTTCAACTTGAGGTTCACTAACATCGAAAGGCATGTCCATAAGACGTTCTTCTTCTAACCTCTCTAGTCTGTTTGGATAATTTGCGCGTGCTGTTTCCAAGTCCATTTCGTAGCGAAGACCAGACAATTTGTCATAGACTTTTATGGGTCTTCCCTTCCTATATTTAAACTTCTTTGAAACTCTCCAACCATATCTTTCTAACTCTGCTTTTATTCTAGCAGACCTTCTATCCATTCTATACGGGGGCATTTTTATAAAAATAAAAAATGTTTTTTTCTTTACTTTACATAGCCACCTGCTGCCATAAGTCTTTGACGCCAACCCATACCAGCTAATGAAGGTTGACTTGGTTTAGTTTGGAAACTAAACTTTGGTTTTGGTTTATCTTCAGTTTTTGGTTTTCTTCTTCTATCGGTTTTTCGTCACTTTTCGGTTCCTCTGACTTTACCTCACTTGCAGGAACAGTTGTGTCGTCAACATCTTCATAAATATCATATGCCATTTGTTTTTGTTTTCCTTTCAACTTTTTGTGTTTGTTGTAAAGTTTAGAATATTTCGACTCTAAGTCAATGAGATGTTCTATAATGAACTGTTGGTCAGTGAAGTAAACTTTTCCATCTGTTGTCTCGAAAGCTCCTTCAGACTTCAATATTTTATTTGTGAGAGTCTGTTTCTTTTTTGAGATACTAGCCGTTCCATTTCTATGAAAAGTGACTTTGTAGTTAGGGTTTGTATTTCCAGACCTGGCACTTTCTATTATTGAATTTTTCTCTTCATCTGTAAGTTCTTTGACAGGTTTTGACAATGGTTCTGAACTTTTTGTTTGTGGTGTCAAATCTACCGTTTCAACTTCTTCGGTCATTTCATCTCAGTAAAAAATTTTAGTTTGGTTTGTTTTCAACTGGTTGTTTAGGTTTTTTAAGTCGGTCTAAAACTTCCTGAGGTATAGGAAGAACTTGACAAACACGTGGTTGTGTAACTGCTGGAAGCGACAAATCCATCTTGAACCCATTTGTCTCAATGCTGTATTGTTCATTTCATCTCAGTAAAAAACTTTACATTCCCCACGTTTGAGGCGGTTGAGGTTGGTTATTGTTTACCCATTGTTGTGCATGGTTATATCCTCTGTTAAAGAATCTTTCACCTTGGTCCATATAGTGTCCTGCTTGGTTATAGTAGTCATTTGCTTTGTTATAGTAGTTTCCTGCTTGTCTTCCTACATTGTCCATCCATCCTTGAACTTTTCCTCTTGTTTCAGGATTTGGAATAAGATTTGCTGCATCTCGTGCTACATCCCAACCTTTCTGTACAGTTTGTATAATAGGTTGTGCTTTCTCTTTAAGTATACCTAATGTACTCAAAATCTTCCTTCCAACTCCAAATACACCTCTGGCTATTGTTCCCACTGCGGGCAAAAATCTGGATGCAACTCCTGCTAATGCGCCAAATAAACCCATTTCTTATAGGGTAAAAATGACGAATCCAAACAAGGACCCCTATGTTTCTAAGGCAACAAAGAAAGCACTCATGATAAAAATCTTTAGTTCAACACCAAATGCTTGGTTTATGGATATCTTGGAAAACATTCCGAGGTATAGAGAAGATGGACCACCATACTGGCTAATATTTGTCGGTCAAAACACAAGATACTGTGAAGCCATACCATTACAGTCCAAAAATATTTTAGATGTGAAAACTGCTTTGACAATATTCGTTGACAAATACCATCCAACAAAACTGACATCTGACTGTGAAAGTTCTTTCAAATCAGACGATATTAAAAACTATCTGCGTTCAAAAAATGTAAACCAATATTTCATTGTCGACCAAAACCATTCTGCTCTTGGTGTCATTGACAGTTGTATAAAAATCTTAAGAGACTTAAATCAACCACAAGGTGGTGAGGTAATGAAATGTCATATGACGACAAATATAGACATTTCTCCATGGCAAAGATGAGACAAGTTTTTAAATATTTACAATAGCCGTAAACAAAAAGGTTTGGGAAACCACTCCCCCGAAGAAATGAAAAACAACCCGACTTAGAGAAAGACTATATATTTAATAGTTTAGTCAAAAGAGACAAACAAGAAAGAATGCCAGGCTTCAAACTTAAGAAAGGTGACAAAGTAAAAATAGAAATACCTAAACGCGACCCATATGAAAATACTATTGACTATGACAACAATGGGAACTCGACAGGTACTCACCTTCGTGTTCGTAAAAATAGAAGAAAGTATACAAGAGAATATTATGAAGTTTTAGGCAAACATGGCAAAATGTACAGACTGCAAGCAGAAGATAAAACTACTATTGTCAGACCTCGTTTCAAACTTGTCAAGTTCAAGGTGGTATACTTTCAAAGACAGTTCCTAACAAATATAAGACAACTCCTGACGAATATGCTAAAGAAGTTGAAAATGACGACTAAGCAATTCTATACCATGCGTAAACTGTCATGTAAATGGCATGTAGTCTTTACTTTGTCCCGTTGTTTGTGTATATCCCGAAACGCGATGTGTATGGTTTCCTTCTCCCTGAGTGTCACTCCAGTAACAATTTATAGCAAACTTAACGTCGTCTTTAACATCATATCCTTTACCTTTTGTCATTCCTGACCAATCCCAATATCTATGCTTATGCCAACCTGCTTGAGATGTACTTAAATCTATGTAGTGACTGTGTGCAGGTAAATTTTCACCTGAAATCGTTTTACTTCCACCTGTTTCCTTTGAAGAGTTTGCACAATACAAAAACCTGTCGACTATTTGAGTCCAAGTTCCAAACCAAGTACTACTTCTGGTCTGGTAGAGTTCATTGACGTATAAATAGAACCTATAGGATATACTGTTTGAAGTATTTCTGTCTTTAATGTTTGAAGCTCTGTTTTGTCTGCTTTTTTATATAACTTTTCTTCAAGTTCATTTACGTCAGAGATGCTATGTCTATGATATTTTTGTGGGTATGTTCCTTCTGTCCATGCTAAAATACGTTCTTTTGTTGCATCTACATATCCAGCTATCCATGTCGAGTCTGCTTTTGTATTCCTTAACTCTGTAACACCTTTCTCAAGCTCTTTCAACTGTTGTCCATCTTCCATTAAACCTCTGGTATGACTTGAAACCGTTTGTGTCAACATATCTACAGTTTCTTTGTCGGCTTTAAGGTCTAAACATCCTGAAACCCACCCTGTATTGGCTTTACCTTCTAAAATCTTCGATGTCCGTTCATGGTACCATTCAACCCTTTTTATAATTTCATTGTCTTTTTCATCCACATATTCCTTATCTGCCTTCTTCACTAACCCACTAGCCAGATATGCTAACTCATCGTCAACATACTCTTTGTCAGCTTTCTTTTCAACATCCTCTTTTGTTGCATATGTTGCATCTGCTCTGTCATGTTCTTCTTGAACTTTTTCAATGACATACTCTTTGTCAGCTTTGTTGTCAATATCTGCTTTCAAAAGAAGTTCATCTATAGGTTTCTCGTTTAAAGTTCTTTTTGTTGGATTTATACAAACAGTATGGTTCTTGTTGTCTTGAAACAGAAACTCGTCTGTCATTGGGTTTAATGTCAGTTTTAGGTTTCCTTCTTTCAATGACTCAGATATCTTAGAATAGTTTGAAAAGTTTGTTGTGTTCTTATTTAGAGCTTGCATAATGAGTTGTCGGTTGTGTTGTATTTCTCTCATAGACGCTGTTTCATTTGACATTTTTATTCTAGATAAAATATGCTTCCAATAGAAAAAGAAAATTCAAGAGTTGCTACAACTAAACCATTAGATGAACTTTTTACGAATGTCGGTCAAAAGTTTGAGACAGAGACCGTAAAGCATGAAGGCTATCGTTTTGACTACCCATTAAGATGGCTAAGAGACCCATCTGTCACAAAAGCTATTGGCTTTCGTAGAATGAAGTTTGTGTCTGTAGAAGATAAAAGTTTTCCATTTATTGTAAGGTTTCATATAGATTATATATCTGAAGGGAAACGAAAAATGTGGGAAGAAATTGAGCTAATACAAGTTGACCTTTCATCTTCTCTACAGACTGCGTTAAAAAATATAGAAGATAAAATAAATTCATGTTATGCAAAATATGCTGATGAATATGCAAATACCGAGAGCACACTTTATGTGAGAATTGTATATGACAAACAAAATTCACAAGTGTCATTTCAAATCTACGAAGACAATCCAAAGAAAGACGAACAAATATATACAGAATTCACTGCAATGTCATGGTATTATTTGCAAAGAATGTTAAATCAGAAAGTCGAACTTCCTTTAGCAAATATTTACAGTCGATATGCAAGAGATGAACCATATTTATTTAAAGATGTTTTCGACCCAGCTGCTATTATTGTTCATGCTTCATTTTCTGGCGCCCAAAACTCTTTCTTATGCTTGGCAAATGACTTTTACGAAAAACCTACAAAGTTATACGAACCACCAAGTGGAAGTATTTCAGACTTTCAAGTATGGTTTACTACAGATGGAAGAAAAAGAATAATTCCATTATACCATGTGTTTTACTTAGAACTTAGTTTCATATACAACTACTATCGAACGGTAAAAATATAATTTTTTAATACGGTTGAGGTGTTGGATTTGGTTGCCAACTTGACTGTGGTGCAGGTTCAGGCTGTTGTATAACAGGAGCTTGTTCTTCTGGTTCAGGGTCTTTAGGTATAATACCAACGAACTGACCTACTCTTTTACCAATATTTTTGACACCGTTCCAAATTCCTCTTCCTACGGTTTTTATTCCATTCCATATACCTCTTCCAACATTTCGAAAGAAGTTTCCTATCTTACTGAAGAAACCCATTTTACTATATGTAAAAATCTAATGTCCGCCTAGTCTCTTACGTTTCCTGTTGAGTTCCATAGCATTCTTTAACTGGAGCTCATACATTCTGTTTCTCCTCTGGTAGAAAACATATTCTGGGTCAACTCCTGTGTTCGCGTCATCTGCATAAAGTTGTTTATATCCCACTTCAGGGTTTGTATAAAACTCTTTCCATCTCATATTTGCATACCATGGTGGCAAACCTAACGCAGCGTCATTTGACATGGCAGTTTGCATTTGTACATCTGTTGGCACTTGACCATAGTTTGCCATTGCAGTTTGTATTCTAACTTCATTTGGAATATTCTCTGGGTTTGGTTGTCCAGGTTGCTGTGCATTCGCTAAGTTCTGTGCGTCCATTTAATATTAGATAAAAATATCTCTTACGAGTACATATACTGAACATTTGCAGGCATTGGTTCATCTTCATATTCTCTATATCTTTCTGCCACGTCAAATAAATAAATGACACAATGGAAAAAACCTAAAACAAGTAGTCCTATTTCAAACCACATTTACTTACTAGTAAAATTTCTTTGTTATGACACTTTCTCCAGTTTATAGGACCTCTCTCATATTCTATCTTGTCATATCTAAACTCATAGTCATGTATGTCCTCTAACCATCTCATGACACTTTCCAAACCACTTTTATCGGATGTAAAGTAAAAGCATGGATGGTTATGTAAAACGTCTAAAGTTTCTAAAGAGTCTCTCAAAGTCCAGTCTACTTGGTATTGAAAATCCCATGTGTTATAGAACGGCGGGTCCACTATAAAAAACATTTTCCTTGTCTTTATATTTTTCATACAACTCTGTCCAATGACATCTCACAAACTCTATACCCTCAATATATTTTTCTATGTTCTCTTTGAAAACATTTGTATAGTTAAGATATAAAACTTTTGACATAAGTGTTTCAATGTCATGAACTCTTATAGCACCACTATATAATAGTCTAGCAGATATACTATCCCAGTCAATATACTCTGCCTTTTTCAAAACCTCTCTGACAGTATTTTTCTTATCTAATGGTATACGTTCCATCTTACCTATAGGTATCTTTTCTTTTAACTCTTTCAATATTTTGTTTGTGTCTGGTATATGTTTGAGACGGTTCATATAGTTGTCGAAGTCATTGCATATAATCTTTGAGTCAGGAAATATTGTATGGCACAAATGAGATATATAGAAACTTCCACCGAACAAGTCTACAAATGTTAGACCATTCGGTAGTTTCTTAAGTTCTCTCAATAGAATATCTTTACATCTACTCTTATTTCCAAAGAAGGGTAACGGTGGTTTTGTAAAATTCATTTTATATATATAATAAAAATGTTTTTTCCTGAAAAGTGACAGAAAAGTGACGGGGGGCTAGAGGGCACGAAGTGCCTGGAAGCCCCACTCCCTTTTTTTTTTTTTTTTTTTTTTTTTTGGGTCTGTTTTTAAATTTTTAAAATCTTCGTGAATTCCAAGAAAGATTTTGATTTGAGATGAAAAACTGTCGGATTGTTCGCCACAAACTTACATTTTTACATTCTACAGCTGTAATATAATCATTATGTATTCAAGGATATTGCTTGCTACAAAAACTGAAAATTTATTCTGAATTTCGATAAAAATAGTGGATATAGATCTATGAATGATTTGATATTCATTGTAATTCATGTTACTTATAAGAAATCTCAATAGATAATCAAATTGAAAGATTTTCGACATTGCATGACCATTTAACCTTTTTAGCATAAAACTATGAGCCACAATGATACAAACGCCGTAATGAAGTTATATGATTCAACTTGATTCTGAAATTTTAGAATTTAACACATAGATTTTGCTAATTTATATTGACAAATCATTTTTCAGGAGTGAATATGTTAAAGAACTAAAATAAAACCACTACTTTGTACGATAATGAAACAAATCGAAAAAACGAGATGTTGAATTTGTATTTTCGTCATTATTCAAATTTACAAACATAGTTCATATCTCCATACAAAATGCAAATCAGTACACGATTAATCAAACTAGCAAAACATTTTGAACAAACCCTTCAAATATTTGAAAAAACAAGTTGCTCCTTGACAAATGACTTACAGATTATATTAGTTCCAATGAACATAGCTTTTTGAAGGTCTGATAAATGATTGTAAGCTTTCCAAATGATTCATTTTCAAGTTAACATTCGTTATGGAATATTTGGATCTCCGATTATAATAGGAATTGAACATTTGACATCATAGATTACTATTAAAATGACAAACAATTGTGGTCCCAATCGAAATTACAATATTTTCATTAAAATATTTTCCGGGATTACAAAATTATTCCATTTTCGACGTGTAATTTGCAAATTGATCTCTTAGCTGAATATAAAAACAAAATTATAAGTACTATGGCATAATTAGGTAAATATCAGTGTTTCCATCCATCGATTTTTTCAATGGATTGTAAGAAATTCAATTTTCAATGAAAACCATTATACACTTATATCCCAATTTGATATTAATATTTAAAATAAATATGTGATCCGTAAATTTGGGAGTAAAAATTTAAAAAATAATTATCTCATTATAAAAGTTACTACGATATCAGTTTATCCAAGTTGTTAAATTGTGATCCATCGTCACTTTTTTGCGATTTCAATAAACTTGATTGGATGAGTACATCTCAGACCGATTCGGACATGTTAATGACTTCATCTGATGATGTTGCACGCAAGAAGACATTTAAGAGCAGTTTCTTCATCACCCTTCCAGTTTTCATGGGTTATGCCTGCTGCTTTGCACTTCAACAAAAACTTTCAGTTAATTTCGGCCTTACACTTGGTGCATCAGGTGACAAACTTTCTAACACTTACGGTGTCGCTACTTCTTTCGTTTATTTCTTTAACTTAATTTTCCGTGTATGAGGACACAACATCGTATTCGGATGCCTTTCACCAAAATGGCGTGTTACTACATCCTTAATCTCCATGATCATTGGTATGTGCTTTTTCATTTTCGTATCAAACCGTAAAAGTAACCCAGTTGGCCTTGCTTTCATTCCATTTGCATTCTGCGGTGTTTGCGAAGGCTCATACGGTCCAAATATGTTAAACGTCGTGAACAATATGGGCAATACTCGTCTATATGTTGTCCTTGCCATGCCTGTTGGCGTTTCTCTTATTACAATCCTTGGATTCTTCTTAATGGGATTCGGAGTTCCATATACAGTTTTCTATATTGTTACAGCTGTTTGCCTTTTAATTGCTATTATCCTTTATCACCTTACAGTCTTCCCAGAAGCCTGCAGAAATTCTAGTGGCCAGCACAATTTCAACCTCAAAGACTTTGGCAATGATATCTGCAACATTGGCGATTGGTTCCCCAAGATTTGGTTCTGTTCTTTAGTTTTCTTATTGAACATGGTTTGTTTGGCACTCTTCAACCCAGGATGCACCCTCTATACATACCAGCCTCGTGTTACATACCGTCTCTTAGGATTTACAATTGATAACAACTTCTTCATGCTTGCTTACAATACATGCTCCTTCTTAGGCGATTTCTTCTCAAGAAAGGTCATGGATAAGAAGAGAATCATCAATCCAGTCTTCTATTTCATCCTTCTTTGCTTCGGATTCGCAATCAACATTTCCCAGATCCCAGAAATCGTTCCATTCGCTGCTTTCTGCTTCTCATGGGCTAACGGTGGCCTCTACGTTCAGTGCACAAAGCTTATCGGCATGTTGTTCAAGGAAAAGTACCATCTTACTGCTACATCAACATGGCTCTTCATCGGTGACTCCGGATCAACAAGTGGAGCTAGCATTGTTCAGTTCCTTCGTCCAGTCATTGCAAGCATCAAGCAAAGAATGTACTAAGATGATCTTTATTCACTTTAGCTTTTATATCTTAAATTAAAACTTCTTTTATTTATTCTTTTTATTATTAATTAATTACTTCATTGTATCTTTAAATTTATACGAATAAAATAAAAAATACTGATGAAAATCAAGAATTAGAGTTTTTTATATGTAAACATGCTCATTATTCCAAGATTTAAACTCATATTAACTGATAAAATCCTGTAGTTGCTCAAATAATTCGGTCATAATTTCTTGGTTTATCTGAAATGTCATTATTGGTAATAAATTTATTATATAAAGTCAAAATATTTCAGAGTTATTTAGATCTCATGCTTAATATCAACGGATAATTTTGAGTTGAATTCAATTTATAGGTAAAAGTCATGATCGATTAGATAAAACAGAAATATAAAAGCGTTTAAACATAATGGTAAATAAAAATAAGATAAACAAAATAGTTATTAGTTGGTTTCATTTGAATCATGAGGCTCTGAATCCTTCAAGTCTAAATCAGCAAAATCTTTGGGCATAGAGCTCTGAAGACCTTCTGGTTCCATGTACGAAAATCCAGGATATTTTTCTGCAGATCCGTAAACTGGCATTACAAATGAATCGGCCGGCTGTTCGGTAGTGAATTCGGTATCGAAGTTCGATGGAACACCTTGATTGTCGCATTTCGGAATAAACGAAGGTTGAACTTTCAATGCAAGGACATCGTTGAAATTGAGGCCTTTAAAGAACTCCAAGTTCTGCATTTGCTTGAATGTCAACCTCTTTCTCTTATCTTTTTGAAGTAATCCGTTGATGAACTCTATAATTGAGGTTTGAACACCGGCAGGGTATTGAACTTCCTTTTCTAGGATATTCTGGAATAATCTTGACTTGTTCGGATGGCAAAATGGTGTCTTATTGAACAATAATTCGTAAGTTAAAATACCAAGTGACCACCAGTCAACTTCTATGCCGTATTTCTCATGACGAATTATTTCTGGTGCCAAATACTCCGAAGTACCGCAAAATGTCGATGTCAGCTCTTCATTGTAAAGATCTTTTGCCAATCCGAAATCTGTAAGCTTAATATGTCCTTGAGCGCTCAACAAAACATTCTCTGGCTTCAAATCTCTATAAACAACTCCGATTGAGTGAAGATGATTTAAAGCCAAAGCAATTTCTGCCAAATAGATTTTTAGGTCTTCTAGAGGGAATGCACCACGTTTCTGCATGTGGAAAAACAATTCCCCTCCAGGAGCGTATTCGAGGCCAAGATAAAATTTCGATGGAGTTTGGAAGGCGAATTTCAAAGAGATGATAAACGGATGAGCGGCTTTTGATAAGATATTACGTTCTGCGATGACTGTATGGACTTTATCCGATTGAATTAATCTTGATTTGTGGATAGATTTGATTGCAAATATTTCATTATTGGATATTTTTGAAACGAGCATAACTTTTCCGTAGAATCCTCTTCCGATGACCGACAGGATTTTGAAGTTTTCCATTGTCAGATCATTGTTGGAAAAAGTTATACTACGAAGGGCTAAAATCCATTTCATTAGCTCGTCTTTAGATGCAGCTTTTAGTTGATAAGTATCAACATCTGGTGTCTCGACAACGAATCTGAATTCTTTATCATCATCAAGGATTTCAATTGTAGTTTGCTGGGTAATTTCCATTTCAGAATCTATTTTTTTGCATTCTTCATCTTTCCATATCTCAATCCTATTATCTTCAAGTTTACAAAATCTTTTGCTCCAAAAACCTAAAATAAACTTACGTTCGAGCCAACCTGACATAGTTTGTTGTTCTTTGGATTCAGGTGGTTCAGTATTTGTCATTCAGAATGTGGGAAAAGTGACATTTCAATTTAGAAATATTCAAAATTTTCTCACTACTTTATCATGCATTATACTGCTTATAGTGCATACACAAATATTACCGTAAAATTTTCCGGATTTTTCATGTTCTGACTTGAAAATTATCTTTCAGCATGGCCAGTAAGAGTATTTAGATCACGGGGTAATCATTTTTATATAAAGTAAGCGATTAGATAAACTCATGGAGAAACCAATGACTTTAGAATATGGCGTCAAAAATTTTCTCACTGGGTTTTCGTCTATCAATCCCAGCTCATTATATACGCAACCAATCAAAAATCTGATATGGGAGTCCAAGGCTAACTTTTTGTTGTCTACCTAATAAAAGAGGAAGCAGCATTAGTGAGAATAATCGCAAATATTCAATTTAAATTATCTTTTTATTCTTAATTTAAAGTGACAAAAAGAATAAAAAACCTATTCTAAGGCATGTTGTTATGTAAATGAGACTAGACATCATATTTTATGTTATGAAAAAAAAATATTTAGAATTTTAGAACAAAATAAATAGAAAAAATAGCATAACTTATGGATGTGCGTATATTAAATTTAATAAATTAAGAGAAATTATTTTTGGCGCCAAAATTATTCGTTAACTCTCAAATTTTTCTGAGTCAATAAGCCGCCAAAAAAGTGTCATTTCTTTATAGGAAAGGAAACCTATTTGACGAACAATCCGGACACTAGTGCCTCAGCGAATTTCCCCAAACCCACCAATCCCCTCCCTGCTGTTGTGCACCATCGATGGAAAGTAAGTCATCAATAGTCTCTTTTCCTGATTTCAAGCTAACGTTAGATCATTCATGAAAGAAATCATTGCCTTTCATCAGAGACTTTCGTTATAACTGCGCTGCTCTCAAGTTCATCTTGAGAAATTTACGTAATAACTGAATTCCCAAAGTTCTTTAGGTGATCCAAAACACTGTAGCTGCTTGAACTTTGGACGAGCCTCGCACCCCAGAGAATAGAAATCCCAATCTTGCTCATGTTTAGTTGAATTAGTCTGCAGCAGTACAGCTCTGATACCACAAGATCGTGATGTATACAAAGTCACAACGCTATTTGATTCAACAACTAGCTAGTTTTGACATCAAATTGCAAAATTTGACTTCGTTATGAGCTCTTTGTAGCAAAAATACATTACACTTAAAGACTAGTTGCTAGACTGTAGTAGTTTGTTCGTATATATCTATTTTTCCCCAACGTATTGCATACTACATTTTGACAAGACTTGCAACCTTATAGTAACCTCGTTGGGAATTGTTCAAGCAAAGCGTAGGTAGTTAAGGTCGAGTAAGAGTTCTTCTTAAATCTTTCACTGAATGAGTAGGTGTTGGAAGAACTGTTCTCTAAAGCGATACAGTTGCGCTACATGTTCGTCAACTTGTCTAGAAATAAATATATCATTTGTTTTATACGTTTTTTCGTAATAAATCTATTTGTATTTGTTGTATTTGAGTATGAAGATAACAAAAACTACGGCATAAGACGCAGTACACTGGGCTTCGTTGCCATTTTATTTACCATGTTAAGAATAAACTTAACAGACATGCTTTGTTTTCGACGAAGCCATCTAAAATAACGTACATCTAAATAAAACTAAAAAACTGTAAAATTTCTTTATTTGATAGTATACTTCAAATTATGCACTATACCTTCTAGAATTCTATAACACTCTTTGCATATAATTTTTTTAAAAAAAAGTTATATCTCGACAAAAATATGATTTATCAATAGAGTATGTAAAATAAAACTCATTCGCAGTATTAAAAAATCGTAAATCTTTCCAAAAAAATTTTGAATTACAAATTTTAAAACTTAAAACAACATTTTTTGAAGCGAAAAAACGAAATCTAATTTTTTTTGGAAAATTTAGAATAAATAGAGCTCTTTAACTCGTCGAATACAAATTGTTTTCAAGTTTTTTTCGACCGGAAATTGAACTTTTAGAGTTTATACAATAAGATTCACATGAAAAAATACGGGTTTAACAAAGAAATCACCAATATAAAGGTTTTTTAGTAGAACGAGATTGATAAAAACTATGGTATGATAAAAAGACGATAATTTTTTTGGCGGGATAATTGAAGAATATGAATGATTCGAATTACAGACATACTCTAGTCCGAAACTTACTATGGTTCGTGACTTATTTTTGACACAGAATAGCTGTAGACTAAGGCTTACTCTAGATCCAGACTTATTATACAATTAAATTTGCTTTTGGAATAAGACTTAATTTTAGTTACAAACTTATCTTAATATCAGACTTATATTTAGAATCAGACTTACTTTAGTCTAGAACTTACATTTAGAATCAGACTTCCATTTCAAGTCAGACTTACTTTCGTCCGAAACTTACATTTCAAGTCAGACTTACTTTCGTCCGAGACTTACATTTCAAGTCAGACTTACATTTCAAGTCAGACTTACTTTCGTCCGAGACTTACATTTCAAGTCAGACTTACTTTCGTCCGAGACTTACATTTCAAGTCATACTTACTTTCGTCCGAGACTTAAATTTCAAGTCATACTTACTTTCGTCCGAGACTTACATTTCAAGTCAGACTTACTTTCGTCCGAGACTTACATTTCAAGTCATACTTACTTTCTCCAGACTTACTTTCGTCAGACTTACATTTCAAGTCAGACTTACTTTCGTCCGAGACTTACATTTCAAGTCATACTTACTTTCTTCCAAGACTTACTTTCGTCCGAGACTTACATTTCAACTCAGACTTACTTTCGTCCGAGACTTACATTTCAAGTCAGACTTACTTTCGTCCGAGACTTACATTTCAAGTCATACTTACTTTCGTCCGAGACTTACATTTCAAGTCAGACTTACTTTCGTCCGAGACTTACATTTTAAGTCATACTTACATTAATATCAAACTTATATTAACCTACGACTTACTTTTATTCCCAGACATCTTGATCCACACTGACATTGAAAACTACTCATACATCTAAAGCCACTCAAACATAATCCAAAAAATGATAATGTAATGAAACTTTATAGAAAATTGAAAATTTCGGCAATTAAAAATAAAGTCGAACAGCATTGTAAATGCAACTGCAACATGGAAAATGTTTATAAACTATATGGTGTTCATATTCCATGTATTCATAACATCTTAGATGTAAAACCGGCCGATTTAGAAAAACCTAAAGCATTTCATATTGGAAAATTGGAATTCAATAGAAAAAAAAAAAAAAAAAAAAGGTAGTGGGGCTTCCAGGCACTTCGTGCCCTCTAGCCCTGAAGATGTTTAGTATAAATGAAGTTTTTATTCGGAGGGCTTCCAGGAGCTTTTCACAAATTATATATGTTTTCATGTTTTGTCACTTTTCTGTCACTTTTCAGGAAAAAACATTTTTATTATTATATATAAATGAATTTTACAAAACCACCGTTACCGTTCTTTGGAAATAAGAGTAAATGTAAAGATATTATATTGAGAGAACTTAAGAAACTACCGAATGGTCTAACATTTGTAGATTTGTTCGGTGGAGGTTTCTATATATCCCATTTGTGCCATACAATATTCCCAGACTCAAAGATTATATGCAATGACTTCGACAACTATATGGACCGTCTCAAACATATACCAGACACAAACAATATATTGAAAGCGTTAAAAGAAAAGATACCTATAGGTAAGATGGAACGTATACCATTAGATAAGAAAAATATTGTGAGAGAGGTTTTGAAAAAAGCAGAATATATAGACTGGGATAGTATATCTGCTAGACTATTATATAGTGGTTCTATAGAGTTCATGACATTGAAACACTTATGTCAAACGTTTTATATCTTAACTATACAAATGTTTTCAAAGAGGACATAGAAAAATATATTGAGGGTATAGAGTTTGTGAGATGTCATTGGACAGAGTTGTATGAAAAATATAAAGACAAGGAAAATGTTTTCTTTATAGTGGACCCGCCGTTCTATAACACATGGGATTTTCAATACCAAGTAGACTGGACTTTGAGAGACTCTTTAGAAACTTTAGACGTTTTACATAACTGTCCATGCTTTTACTTTACATCCGATAAAAGTGGTTTGGAAACCGTTATGAGATGGTTAGAGGACATACATGACTATGAGTTTAGATATGACAAGATAGAATATGAGAGAGGTCCTATAAACCGGAGAAAGTGTCATAACAAAGAAATTTTATTAGTAAGTAAATGTGGTTTGAAATAGGACTACTTGTTTTAGGTTTTTTCCATTGTGTCATTTATTTCTTTGACGTGGCAGAAAAGTACAGAGAATATGAAGATGAACCAATGCCTGCAAATGTTCAGCATATGTACTCGTAAGAGATATTTTTATCTAATATTAAATGGACGCACAGAACTTAGCGAATGCACAGCAACCTGGACAACCAAACCCAGAGAATATTCCAAATGAAGTTAGAATACAAACTGCAATGGCAAACTATGGTCAAGTGCCAACAGATGTACAAATGCAAACTGCCATGTCAAATGACGCTGCGTTAGGTTTGCCACCATGGTATGCAAATATGAGATGGAAAGAGTTTTATACAAACCCTGAAGTGGGATATAAACAACTTTATGCAGATGACGCGAACACAGGAGTTGACCCAGAATATGTTTTCTACCAGAGGAGAAACAGAATGTATGAGCTCCAGTTAAAGAATGCTATGGAACTCAACAGGAAACGTAAGAGACTAGGGGACATTAGATTTTTACATATAGTAAAATGGGTTTCTTCAGTAGTATTGGAAACTTCTTTCGAAGTTGGAAGAGGTATATGGAATGGAATAAAAACTGTCGGAAGAGGAATTTGGAACGGAGTCAAAAATATTGGTAAAAGAGTAGGTCAGTTCGTTGGTATTATACCTAAAGACCCTGAACCAGAAGAACAAGCTCCTGTTATACAACAGCCTGAACCTGCACCACAGTCTAGTTGGCAACCAAATCCAACACCTCAACCGTATTAAAAAATTATATTTTTACCGTTCGATAGTAGTTGTATATGAAACTAAGTTCTAAGTAAAACGCATGGTATAATGGAATTATTCTTTTTCTTCCATCTGTAGTAAACCATACTTGAAAGTCTGAAATACTTCCACTTGGTGGTTCGTATAACTTTGTAGGTTTTTCGTAAAAGTCATTTGCCAAGCATAAGAAAGAGTTTTGGGCGCCAGAAAATGAAGCATGAACAATAATAGCAGCTGGGTCGAAAACATTTTCATATGTTCCATTAGGGTTTTCGACTTCATAAAAGTCTGGGTGTACTGGATATGCTGCAGGCTGATTTAACATCCTCATAAATCTATACCATGCCAAGTTGTTATATTTTGTAGAAATATAAACGTTTTCTCCAAGGTCTTCTATTCTATTGATTTTAACAGTTGCATTTTTCCTGTCATAAATAATATCGAGATGGTATTCTCCTTCGTCAATGTTATACTGCTTTGCATATTCGATATAGATATCGTTTATTTTTTCTTGAAAAGCTTGAAGAGTTGTTTCTAAGTTTACAAGCAAATTCACTTGTAAAAGTTTTCCCTGTTCAAATTTCTCATACATACGTTTTTCTTTGTTATAGTATCGAACTTCAAAACCGACTGTAAATGGGAAACCATGTATGGCTTCTGAAATGAACTTCATTCTACGAAAGCCAATAGCTTTTGTGACGGATGGGTCTCTTAACCATCTTAACGGGTAGTCAAAACGATAGCCTTCATGCTTTACGGTCTCTGTCTCAAACTTTTGACCGACATTAGTAAAAAGTTCATCTAATGGTTTAGTTGTAGCAACTCTAGAATTTTCTTTTTCTATTGAAAGCATATTTTATCTATAATAAAAATGTCAAATGAAACAGCGTCTATGAGAGAAATACAACACAACCGACAACTCATTATACAAGCTCTAAATAAGAACACAACAAACTTTTCAAACTATTCTAAGATATCTGAGTCATTGAAAGAAGGAAACTTAAAACTGACATTAAACCCAATGACAGATGAGTTTCTGTTTCAAGACAAGAAGAACAATACTGTCTGTATAAATCCAACAAAAGGAACTTTAAACGAGAAACCTATAAATGAACTTCTTTTGAAAGCAGATGTTGACAACAAAGCAGACAAAACATATGTAGACGATGCAATAGCAAAAGAAGAAGAAAGAGCTGACAAAGCTTATGCAACAAAAGAACATACTCATCCTGAACTAGCAGACAAAACATATGTTGACAATAAAATGTCAAGTGAAGTGACAAGAGCTGAAAACGAATATTCTAAAAAGACTCATACACATACCATTGCAAATATTACAAACTTACAAGAAACCTTAAACAGGAAAAGTGACGTTGGACATACACATACCATTGCAAATATTACAAACTTACAAGAAACCTTAAACAGGAAAAGTGACGTTGGACATACACATACCATTGCAAATATTACAAACTTACAAGAAACCTTAAACAGGAAAAGTGACGTTGGACATACACATACCATTGCAAATATTACAAACTTACAAGAAACCTTAAACAGGAAAAGTGACGTTGGACATACACATACAAGTTTTACAACTGTTGCTATAGAAAATATTGCAGGAACGGTTGAAGAACCTGATGGGGATGTATTATATTTTAAACCTCCTAACTTTCCACAAGGTTTAACATCGGATGAAAACATAACAACGATGAAATACATTAGATGTAGAAATGTTTATGTCATGGAGGATGAAAATAACGTTAAATTCACTGCTCAAGATTTATATGAGAAGAAAGCAGACAAAACAGAGCTTCAAACATTAAAGACAGAAATACTTCAAACATTATATCCTATAGGCTCTATTTATACGTCAATGAACTCTACCAGACCAGAAGTAGTACTTGGTTTTGGAACTTGGACTCAAATAGTCGACAGGTTTTTGTATTGTGCAAACTCTTCAAAGGAAACAGGTGGAAGTAAAACGATTTCAGGTGAAAATTTACCTGCACACAGTCACTACATAGATTTAAGTACATCTCAAGCAGGTTGGCATAAGCATAGATATTGGGATTGGTCAGCAATGACAAAAGGTAAAGGATATGATGTTAAAGACAACGTTAAGTTTGCTATAAATTGTTACTGGAGTAACACTGAGGGAGGAGGAAACCATACACATCGCGTTTCAGGGTATACGCAAACAACGGGACAAAGTAAAGACTACATGCCACCTTACATGACAGTTTACGCATGGTATAGAATTGCTTAGTCGTCATTTTCAACTTCTTTAGCATATTCGTCAGGAGTTGTCTTATATTTGTTAGGAACTGTCTTTGAAAGTATACCACCTTGAACTTTGACAAGTTTGAAACGAGGTCTGACAATAGTAGTTTTATCTTCTGCTTGCAGTGTGTACATTTTGCCATGTTTGCCTAAAACTTCATAATATTCTCTTGTATACTTTCTTCTATTTTTACGAACACGAACGTGAGTACCTGTCGGGTTCCCATTGTTGTCATAGTCAATAGTATTTTCATATGGGTCGCGTTTAGGTATTTCTATTTTTACTTTGTCACCTTTCTGAAGTTTGAAGCCCGGCATTCTTTCTTGTTTGTCTCTTTTGACTAAATTATTAAATATATAGTCTTTCTCTAAGTCGGGGTTGTTTTTCATTTCTTCGGGGGAGTGGTTTCCCAAACCTTTTTGTTTACGGCTATTGTAAATATTTAAAACTTGTCTCATCTTTGCCATGGAGAAGTGTCTATACTTGTCGTCATATGACATTTCATTTGCTTCACCACCTTGTGGTTGGTTTAAGTCTCTTAACATTTTTATACAACCGTCAATGACACCAAGAGCAGAATGGTTTTGGTCGACAATGAAATATTGGTTTACATTTTTTGAACGCAGATAGTTTTTTACATCATCTGATTTGAAAGAACTTTCACAGTCAGATGTCAGTTTTGTTGGATGGTATTTGTCAACGAATATTGTCAAAGCAGTTTTCACATCTAAAATATTTTTGGACCATAATGGTATGGCTTCACAGTATCTTGTGTTTTGACCGACAAATATTAGCCAGTATGGTGGTCCATCTGTTCTAACTCTCGGAATGTTTTCCAAGATATCCATAAACCAAGCATTTGGTGTTGAACTAAAGATTTTTATCATGAGTGCTTTCTTTGTCGCTTTAGAAACATAGGGGTCCTTGTTTGAATTCGTCATTTTTTAACCCATAAGAAATGGGTTTATTTGGCGCATTAGCAGGAGTTGCATCCAGATTTTTGCCCGCAGTGGGAACAATAGCCAGAGGTGTATTTGGAGTTGGAAGGAAGATTTTGAGTACATTAGGTATACTTAAAGAGAAAGCACAACCTATTATACAAACTGTACAGAAAGGTTGGGATGTAGCACGAGATGCAACAAATCTTATTCCAAATCCTGAAACAAGAGGAAAAGTTCAAGGATGGATGGACAATGTAGGAAGACAAGCAGGAAACTATTATAACAAAGCAAATGACTACTATAACCAAGCAGGACACTATATGGACCAAGGTGAAAGATTCTTTAACAGAGGATATAACCATGCACAACAGTGGGTAAACAATAACCAACCTCAACCACCTCAAACTTGGGGAATGTAAAATTTTTTACTGAGATGAAATGAACAATACAGCATTGAGACAAATGGGTTCAAGATGGATTTGTCGGCTTCCAGCAGTTACACAACGTGTTTGTCAAGTTCTTCCTATACACGGAAGTTTTAGACCGACTTAAAAAACCTCAACAACCAGTTGAAAACAAACCAAACTAAAATTTTTTACTGAGATGAAATGACCGAAGAAGTTGAAACGGTAGATTTGACACCACAAACAAAAAGTTCAGAACCATTGTCAAAACCCGTCAAAGAACTTACAGATGAAGAGAAAAATTCAATAATAGAAAGTGCCAGGTCTGGAAATACAAACTCTAACTATAAAGTCACTTTTCATAAAAATGGAACGGCAAGTATCTCAAAAAAGAAACAGACTCTCACAAATAAAATATTGAAGTCTGAAGGAGCTTTCGAGACAACAGATGGAAAAGTTTACTTCACTGACCAACAGTTCATTATAGAACATCTCATTGACTTAGAGTCGAAATATTCTAAACTTTACAACAAACACAAAAAGTTGAAAGGAAAACAAAAACAAATGGCATATGATATTTATGAAGATGTTGACGACACAACTGTTCCTGCAAGTGAAGTAAAGTCAGAGGAACCGAAAAGTGACGAAAAACCGATAGAAGAAGAAAAACCAAAAACTGAAGATAAACCAAAACAAAGTTTAGTTTCCAAACTAAACCAAGTCAACCTTCATTAGCTGGTATGGGTTGGCGTCAAAGACTTATGGCAGCAGGCGGTTATGTAAAGTAAAGAAAAAAATATTTTTTTATTTTTATAAAAATGCCCCCATATAGAATGGATAGAAAATCTGCTAGAATAAAAGCAGAGTTACAAAGATATGGTTGGAGAGTTTCGAAGAAGTTTAAATATAGGAAGGGAAGACCCATAAAAGTCTATGACAAATTGTCTGGTCTTCGCTACGAAATGGATTTGGAAACAGCACGTGCCAATTATCCAAACAGACTAGAGAGGTTAGAAGAAGAACGTCTTATGGACATGCCTTTCGATGTTAGTGAACCTCAAGTTGAAGGACACGACGGCTTTGCCAGATTCTACTGGAAACATGACGAACAATTGCATCCTTTGAGAAGGAAAAAAGGAAAAGGTGAAGACGCACATGCTCCCATGAAAGAACAAGATATGCATATGAGAAGTACCGTGAAGTTAGAAGTCAAATTACTTCTGGTCGAACCTTTACAGTAAACTTTGACGAAGGAAAGAACAAAGAAGGCTTCATGGGTGTACTTGCTGCCATACAAGACGGAAATAAGAAAGGACACAATCTCAGATTGACCATAACAGATTTGGATGGTCACATTTACTATGCATATGGCAATGTCACAACAGCTGCAATGCTTCTTGACGCTTTCAAGACTACAAAGAGAGAACAAATGGTTGACTCCGACTCAGACATTTTGAATGCAATTGAAGGAATTGCAAGTGTCAAGTTCGAATGGTACCAACCTAACCCTCAAGCAGTCAGACAACATGCTGGATACTTCCCCTTCAGAAATAAGTCTGACATTGACTTGACAAGGTATGGAATTTACAATTCAATTGAAACAATTGTCAATGAACCTTGCATTCTTACATGTCTCAGGAACTCTGGTCTTGTTACAGATGAGAAAATGAAGTATCTTGAGTCATGTGTGAAGACAAGGTACATTCTCAGAGGTCAATTGGCAAAAATTGCACCGTTGGCAAATGTCAATATCCGAGTCAACATACCTACAGCTAAAGGTTCTTCACATGACGACTATGTTGTTGACAAAGACTTACCATGGTTGAAGATTGTAATTGTCCACAACCACTTCATGTTGAACGAAAGTCTTACAAACCCATTGTTCGGAAAAGGCAAGTGCAACATTGTCAGAGCTGTAAACATTCTTTTCGAGAAAGGTTTGTTGGAACCAATTCCAGATGACAAGCTGACAGAAACTTTTGTACCAAAAGACGAAACAAACTTTTCATTGTTAGCAAGACCAAAAGTTGTTCCAGACAAAGTTCTAGTACAAAAGAAGTACACAGTTCCACAAGGAGTTGGTTGTTCGGATACCAACCTGAACCAGAAGAACTTCCAATGAGGTTGCAAGAACTTCAAGATGCTATAAACAAACTTCCATTGAGACATCCAATTGACGTCAAATTGTATTGGAGAGCATCTGAGTTAGGTCAGAAGGTTTTATATGAAACAGGTTGCTTCGACGATGTTTATGAGATAACAGGAGAAGTTTCTCAGAAGATAAGAGACTCACTTGAATTTCCACAAACTGGACCAATTGGTTGCGACAAGTTCGACTCAAACGAAAAGATATACTATGTCGACCTTAACGCTGCATACATGAGGTTTGTCCAATATATTCCGACTGGAATTCCAAACGAAGATGGTGAGTTCCCGGGAAGGAACTATACAGTTGGAAAAGTCATACAACAACTGTATGATATTAGGAAAGCTTCAAACCCCAAACTTGCAATGACACTCAAATTGCTTATGAATTCGACATGGGGATATTCCATTAAGAAACCTCAAGAGATGAAGAGTAAACATTATGAGAAGGTCGACAACTTTGTTGAAAGGTTTTCTCCTTTTGTTTTGAAGTACGAATTCACTCAAGGTCAAAGTGGCTTAGTAACCACATTAAAACCTATTGTCGAACATTGGTCTTACCCTCAGTTCGCAAAGGCAGTCCTTGACAACTACAACAAATTCTTCTCCGAAGTAAAATCCAAAGTCAAGGTTTACTATGAGAACATTGACGCACTCATGACGAACGAAGAAGGATACAACAAACTCATTGAAATGGGCATGGTCGGTGAGAAGATGGGTCAATTCAAATTGGACAAAATTTTCACCGAAGTTCATGCCCTCTCCAAGCGTAAGTACTGGGGCATACTTGAAGACGGCACAGAAATAAAACATTGCATGAAATAAAAACGTTTTTCAAAAAAGTGACATTTTTAAATTTTATTTGAACTGTACGCTGAGTTTGTTGGAGAAGACCGTTGGGAAACTTGTTTGTTAGATGAGAAATATGAAATGGCATACCATTTTAAAACAATATATTTTTACATATATTAAATGCTTCAGGTTGAAAAACAAAGAACAAAAGTAGCAGATACAAAACCGTTAGACTATATCTATACAAATGCTGGTAGGACTATTTCAGATGAAGAAATTTCATCCCGAGCATACAGGTTTGACTATCCAGTTCGTTGGCTTCAAAGTCCTTCAGATGCAAAGGCAATAGGATTTAGAAGAGTTTTGTTTTCAAATAGAACTAACGCGTTTATGTTCGCAGTATATTTTCATGGGCAGTATAAAGGTTCTGATGGTCTAATAGACAAATTTGACGAAATGAGAATCTTTACAGTTCGTTCAGACGAAAGTCTTGAGAAAACTCTAAATGACTTTCAAACTCAAATGAACAAATACTATTGGGAATTTCAAGAAAAATACGACTCTTTACTAAATGGAACATACTATCTGAAACTAGAATATGACAAGATGAACTCCACCGTTTCATTTCAAAAGATCGAAATTAACCCTCCAAGAGATACAGAGTTTTTATTTTGGAAAGTAGACAAACGTTCTTGGGCACAATTTCTTCGGTTACTAAACCAGAACGAACCATTACCACCGATGGTCCATTTAAATTTATACTTCCACCAGCAGATTTGACAGTTTATAGAAACGTGTTTGACCCTCAAAATGTTATGTGCCATGCAAGTTTCAGTTCAAGCAACAATAGTTTTCTATGTATCGGTAAGGACTTTTATGACTTTGCTTCTAAATTCTACGAACCACCTAGTAACAGTTTCTCTGACTTTCAAGTTTGGTTCACAACAAATGGTGTGCAACATATAATACCATTGTACTATGACTTTTATCTCGAATTGTCTTTCATATACAACTACGGAAAAGTGCTGAAAAAGTGAGTTTATGTTAGCATGTTAGATCTCACCTCTTTTCTCACCTCTTTTCTCACCTCTTTTCTCACCTCTTTTTTCACCCGTTGAATTTTGTATAAAAACCAACCGCCGGAATTCCGGCGGTTGCTATATTCTTCACAAAATGCTTGTTTTGAGGTCGAGCCACTTTTGGCTCCACCGTATTCTTTCAACCAAAACTCATGAAATTTGGTCATTTTTCAGCAAAAATATATTTTAGGTGAAGAGGTGAGATCTAACCTGTTTTTTCACCTGTTTTTTCACCCGTTGAATTTTCATGAATTTCCTTAAGATAGAAAAAAAGTGAGTTAAAATGAGATGTTTACTGAAGGGGTCACTCGGTCACTCGGTCATTTAACATCCTTTAAAAAATGAGACAACATGACATTTTGACAACAGTCGGGAAAATGTCAAGACTTCTTCATCGTAACGAGTGTAAATGAACCAAAAATATATTTTATGTTAGCATGTTAGATCTAACACGTTTTCTAACCTCATTTCTAACCTCATTTCTACCATCGTAGAAAACTCTCGAAATTCATGAGTTTTGTGTGTTTCCTTAAGATAGAAAAAATAAAAATATATTTTATGTTAGCATGTTAGATCTAACCTCATTTCTAACCTCATTTCTACCATCGTAGAAAACTCTCGAAATTCATGAGTTTTGTGTGTTTTCCTTAAGATAGAAAAAATAAAAATATATTTTATGTTAGCATGTTAGATCTAACACGTTTTCTAACCTCATTTCTAACCTCATTTCTACCATCGTAGAAAACTCTCGAAATTCATGAGTTTTGACACTTTCACAAAAAACATAAAAAATAAAGTTAGTTTTTTTAAAAAAATATTTTTTATTTTTATTGTAAGAACATGTTAGCAACAACTTCACCAAACTCTTTAGTCATGAACCCAACATCTATGTTAGTAGAAATGAAAAGCTTCATTCCTTCTTCATATACTTTCGAAACAGAAATCCAGAAGATAAAGCAAGAACTTCTCCAAGGAGATTTAGATTGCACTGCAAAAGATGAAACAAATGAACAATATCTTTATGAAATGCAGGATATTATTGACCATCTACCTAAACTTCCTGAAATACAACAACAAAAGCTCACTATTCCAGAATTTGAAGAAATAGAAGTCAAAGCAACTGACTCGGTAGAAATAAAGAAGTTCATACGTAAGGTTAACTATGAGTTTCTTGGATTTCATTGCAACCACAAAGTCATGGACAAAGACTGCGATATGGTATATTTCATTGACATATATAAATCTGAAGAATTTAAGACCTACGACAACTTTGTTTCGTTAGTTGCAAAATGTGTATGGCAGATAAGAGATAAAGATAGAAGAGGTAAAGTATGGAACGAACAAATAAAACCAGCAACTTTTGAGTTAAAGAAAACCATTGACGCCTTAGTTGTTCTAGCAGGTCAAATTTCAATGTACAATGCTAAAATGAACCCACAATGTTCAAAATGTAAAGCAGCAATGAGGAAATATAACTACTCCGTCAAAGAGATAGAACGTATGCGAAACGACTATGCTGACTTAAAGAAAGAAGCAGAGAAACCAGCAGAAGATAAAATGGACATGTTGACATTTCTGAACAAAAACTATCCAACTGCTGACGATTTCCTTCTTTCAGATGTCAAGAAGAAATATAAAGATACATTCAATATTGTGAAAACTTTTGATATCCTTCGTGAAGAAATAGAAGCTACAAAACTGTTTAAAGTCATGAACCATCGCAACATATACCATGTAAAACGCTTGTAAATAGTTATGTTAGAAAAAGTGGTTAGAAAACGTGTTAGATCTAACATGCTAACATAAAATATATTTTTGCTGAATTCTGTATAAAATTCTGAGTAAAATGGCATATGGAACACATACTTTTTCAGTAAGGACATATGGGGTAGAAAAGAGGTGAGAAAACGTGTTAGATCTAACATGCTAACATAAAATATATTTTTGCTGAAAAAAATGACCAAATTTCATTATATAACTGTTATGAGTGACGAAGAGAACTTTGACACTTCGTAAAAAAAATCCCTGAAATCATATCTTTTATACAAAATTCAAGAGGTGAGAAAAGAGGTTAGAAAAGTGGTTAGAAAACGTGTTAGATCTAACATGCTAACATAAAATATATTTTTGTCTGATTTACGCTCATTACGATGAAATCATGACAAAACATATACGATGAAGTTCATTTCCTGTGTTGTTGTCAAAATGTCATGTTGTCACCATTTTCAAAAGGATGTTAGTTGACCGAGTGACCGAGTGACCTGGTGACACCTAAAAACCATCTACCCTAAAATATATTTTTGCTGAAAAAAATGACCAAATTTCATGAATTTCCTCATATGTTTGCTACCCGAGGAAAACCGAGGGTAGAGATTCCGTACGAAAATCGTAAAAAAATGACCAAATTTCATTATATAACTGTTATTTTTTTACGAAGAGAATTTTGACACTTCGTCAAAAAAATCCCTGAAATCGTGAAAAAATGACCAAATTTCATGATATAACTGTATTTTTTTTACGAAGAGAACTTTGACACTTCGTCAAAAAATCCCTGAAATCGTAAAAAAATGACCAAATTTCATGAATTTCCTCATATGTTTGCGACCCGAAGAAAACCGCGGGTCGAGATTCCGTACGAAAATCGTAAAAAAATGACCAAATTTCATTATATAACTGTTATTTTTTTACGAAGAGAACTTTGACACTTCGTCAAAAAAACCCCTGAAATCGTGAAAAAATGACCAAATTTCATTATATAACTGTTATTTTTTTACGAAGAGAACTTTGACACTTCGTCAAAAAATCCCTGAAATCGTGAAAAAATGACCAAATTTCATTATATAACTGTTATTTTTTTACGAAGAGAACTTTGACACTTCGTCAAAAAAATCCCTGAAATCGTAAAAAAATGACCAAATTTCATTATATAACTGTTATTTTTTTACGAAGAGAACTTTGACACTTCGTCAAAAAAATCCCTGAAATCATATCTTTTATACAAAATAAAAAAAATAACGTTAGTTTTTTTAAAAAAATATTTTTTATCTTGTATGTAAAGACAGAAAAATGACAAACACTGAGTTTGAAACAGTTAGAAAGATAGACAATGACACCAAATTGGTTAGAATAGGTGATTTAAACGTAAGATACTCAAAGAAATACAAGAAATATTCTTTGTCAGACATTATATCTCCATCTGGAAAGAAAACACACGACTGGGTTGGAATTGCTTCAACTCAGAAAATTTTGACAAGAAATCCTGAGCTTATGATATCAGTAGCATTTCATGGAACAAGAGCATATCTCATCGACAAAAGTCTTATACCAATAGTTTTGTTATGGTTAGACCCAGTTGTTGGATATAACTTCATAACATATGGTTCATTCGATACGGAACGTTGCAGTGAAGGCTTACTTTACATCGTTCAGAAACCGAAGGACTTCAATACAAAGAGATATAAGATAGGAAGAACATATAATATAACTCAAAGATATGACAGTATAGTCAATAGAGTCAAGGTTGTGTTTGTTAACGATATGAGAGCTGCTGAAACAGAACTGCTTGAAGTTTTTGAGAAAATGTATGGTGCTCCCACGAAAGGTAAAGAAACGTTTGAAGTAGATGAGATAGGTAAAGCTATAAAATTATTTGACGAAGTTGCTGAAAAATACATGTAAAGCGTTTATTTTTGGTCTTTTGTGAAAGTCAGGAAATAACGCTAATTTTTTATAAAATATTTTTTTATTTTGTATGTAAAGACAGATATGACAACAACAGAGAACACAACAACTGCTATCGTTCATGAAGCCATAAATGAAGAATACGAGTGGGTTCAGTTTAACAAACAACTCCGTCTCATTCGTTCGGTCAAAGACGATATGTACCAAATGCAAAGTATTTTGACAGCATGTTATGCTCCAGATACTAAGCTTCCTAAAGACTGGTTTAGGAACCAAAGCACTATTGAACTTTTGAGCGAAGCACAGCGAGACAGACTTTTTTCTGAAAACAGTGAAGAACAGCGAGTAGGTAAAAAACCCCAGTCGCCAAAACTCTATGAAAACAGTGAAGAACAGCGAGTAGGTAAAAAAACCCAGTCGCCAAAACTCTATGAAAATCGTGAAAATTTGCCAAATGGTTTGAGAGGCTGGTATGTACATAGACTTCTTGTAAATGCTGTTGCAATGTGGGCTTCGCCTCGTTATGCTTGGTATATTTACAGACTTCTTGACGAAATTCATAGACAAGAACGTGAAGAGCTAGAGAACAAGCTTGAAGCAAAAGACAAAAACATTCAGAAAAGAATACCACGTTCGGTACCAAAAGGAAAGGAAAAGAACTATAAGTATATGATTTATACTGAAGAGATGGAAAATGAAGAAGACAGAGATATGGTTATGTTGCATTTAGTCAGAAGAAACAACAAAAGCTTTTACGACCTTGCTAAGATTTACAAATCTGACAGAAATTGGTTCTATCGCGAAAACTTACCGATTTCAATGACACCAAATGATGATGTGAAACAAATAGTTCAAGATACGTTACCTCAAACACACTATGATATTAAAGGTTGTACAATACTTACCTTCAAAGAAGATTTGCCGCTACTGAAAGAAAAAATAACAGAGTATTTTGACAACTTCAAACAAGCAGAGTAAATGAACCATTTATTTTTCAAGCTTGACTTCAGATGGCTCAGGTAGCTCTATAAGGTAAATTGTCTTGTCAAATCCTTCTGGCATTCCGAGTCCTTCCATCCGACAGGGAAAAAATTTCCCGACAACTGGAAAAAAATTTCCCGACAACTGGAAAAAAATTTCCCGACAACTGGAAAAAATTTTCCTGTTGTCCGTCCGTAAACCATTCAAATTTTCGAAAATTGAGAACTTTTTGGTCGAACGACAGAAAAAATTTTTCCTTCCGACAGGAAAAAATTTTCCCGACAACTGGAAAAAATTTTCCTTCCGACAGGACACAAACGGATGACTGACGTTCCTCTTCCTGAATGTCTTCCAAAGCCAGAAGAACCGACAGCCCCAGCACCACAACAGACTAAGACCAAACACTTACATTTTTTACGCTTGACCTTTTACAATTTGAACTTTGTTTGCGTAGATATGAATTCTGAAAGAAGTATGAGGGTCTTGTATGACTTTGTACTTCTCCCATAGTTCATGTCTGTCAAACTTACCTGCCATGGACTCTTTCATAAGTTCCATGAAATCGTCTTCGGACAATCCGGGGAAAAGTACAATGTCAGTAAGTATTCTCTTTACATCCTTACTTAAACTCTTTGCTGTCTGTACACAAATGACAACAGAGATGTTAAAGTGTCTGAGCTTCTTAAGAATTCGACACATGTCTTGTTCTCTATTCTTTAACAAAGGATGAGAAGCAAAGTCATCTAAGATAAGAAGACATCTATGAGGGTATATCTTCCAATCGTAAGATTGCAATTTCTTCGAAATGTATTCTATCTCTTTCTGTTTGTTTCTGAAGTGTTTCTTCTCTAATATTCTCTGCATTTCCTCATTTGGGTCTTTAAACTTCGAATTTATATACTCATTTATAGCATTGTACTTCAAAACCCTTCTTTGGTACTTCTTTATCCAATCTAACAACTCAGAGTCTTTTATACATACTAACTTAGACTTCTTTATAATATCTTTGAACGAATTGACGGTTTGGTCAAATTGACCAGAAGTACTACAAATGACAACTAACTCATAGAATGGGTTCTTCTCATCTAGTTCTTGTTGTTGTGCAGCCATTTTAAGATAAGTGAAAGTCTTACCCGACCCAGGTGGTGCAATTAGACCTGTTATACCATTCTGAGCAAATAAGAACTTGTCATGTATGGGTTTTATCTGAGCATTTTCCAACTTCCTCTTGTTCTTATTTAAAACATTCTCAAATTTTTTGTCAATGTCAGCAAACTTTTTTTCTAACATATTTTTAGAAAAATTAAAATTTTTATCTTTTAGAAAATGTCTAGCGATTTCGCTATCTATATTCGAGATAAACTTTTCGACAGCAAAACATCTGTCGACCATAAAATCTTACATAGTGTAAACAAGAAAGGTGAATTTGTTCTAAAGTTCTGTTTCTGGGAATATGACAAGAACCATAAAACATTAAGCAGAGCAGTCTTAAAATTTGTCAATGACAGACTTGTTGACAGAGATGACGCCTCTTGGAGAGATGAAGTCCAACAAAACTTCTTAGAATGCAAAGAAGACACATGCGCTGTTCTTGAAGATGAAATAGAAAACAGAATAGAAGAGCTATTAAAGGACAAAGAACTTTTACAAAAATATGGTTCTGAGAAGTTTGACATAACTCCACCAGAAAGAAGAAGAGAGAAAGAAAGAAAAGAAAAGTAGAAGAAGAGAAGAAAGAACCAGAGCCAGAGAAGAAGAAATTTGACATGTAAAAATAAAATTTTATTTTTAGAACATTTCTGGGTCAATGTCAATGTTCTCTTCCTCTTTAGGAGCAAACACTGGCTTAGACTCTAAAATCTTTTTACCCAATTTACCTTGAACTTCTACAACTTTAGACTCATAATATTCATAGTCGTCTGCTTTCTTTGGTTCATAAGGTATAACAAGTTTGTATGCTTTGCCTTCTTTAAGGTTTGAGAACCTTCTGTCAAAACTTTCTTTGACTGCTAACAAACCTTCTATGTCTAAGTCTTCAAATTTCGCACCATTTTTAGTCACAATAGCAAACTTAACTGGTTCGATGTTCCAAACTTTGCTGAATGAAGACTTTTCAAAATGGTAGAAGTAAACATTCAAATATGTGAATGGGTCTAGTTCTTCTTTGACTTCTGTCATGTACTTGTTTACTGAGATGAATTTCGTCATCTTTTCTATCGGATAAAAAAATATATTTTTTTTTAAAATTTACTCAGAAAAATTTTTCTTTGTATATACACCATTCTGTACGTCTAAAAGACTTTTGACATTTGCCAAGAATGTTCGTTTAGACGCTGTCATATAACCATATTCTTGACAATATTGTTTATACGAATCGTACAATGACCTTTCATCTAATGACACAAAGTCAGTTTCATCTATGAACAGTTCATATACACTCTTGTTTGCTTCTAACAATGTTTGTCTCTCTTCGGTATGTGGAATTTGTCTTGGATTGAACTTAGAAATATCTAATGTCATGAAATATGAGAACAAGTGGTTGTAAAAGTCAGATGTCAAAGTTTCTGACAAAGCGTCAAAATATTCTGTATCTTGCATATGAGAATCTGACGTTCTGACAACTACATATCTTCTGTCAGAACTTTCTAACTTCATCGGAACAGCATTGTTTGAAACCATAACGAAGTTTGCAACATTTTCACAAACTCTTTGGTCTTTATATTTTCTTTCAACAACTCCAACTTTGTCTGTTATAAGACTCTTCAAAGCATCTGAGTTCAAAACTTTTGTTGTATCTATACTTTGAAGTTCGTTACATACTATAAGTTTCATATTCTCTATTGAAGAGTTAAATTTACCGCAGATGTTTTCTAAGTTTGTCATATTCGGATTCGAATAGCCCTCTAACAGTTTGCATAAGATATCTGTAAAGAAAGTGTTCTTACCTGTTCCTTGTTTTCCAATTATAATGAGAGCAGTTTCATTTTTAGCACTTGGATGTTGTAAGATGTTTGCAAACCAACATAAGATATACTCATAGATCTTTCGTTTCCATTGCATATAATTTCTTTGACATGGTCTAACCAAGCTTCTATAATATTTTCTTTCCATTCTACTTGTTCGTATTTATATCCAGTGAAGATAGAATAGAAGTTTGGAGAAGGTGTATAGAACTTTATACCTCGAACTGAAAAATCTTCTAACTTTGACAATAAGATATCCCAAGCATCTAACATCTTCATGCCAACTTGTACAACTTTTATTTTCTTAAGTTTCTGTCTACATTCTTGTTCTGAAACTATTGTTGCTTTAGGTTTGTTAAAGACTACATCCCATTCTTTCATAACATAACATTCTGGGGCAGAGTCAACATAAATGACTAAACGTTTCAAATTCTCGACTGCTTTGTTATAGTCTCGAAATGGACACATATTTCTGAATGTTTGGAAGTCATAAAAATCTGAAACATCTATTCTGTACATTTTTATAAAAATAAAAAAAATATTTTTTTTATTCTTGAGCTATTTGTTGCATTTGTTGTTCTTGAGCTATTTGTTGTTGAAGTTGTTCTTGTAATACAATACTTTCACCAGTTGCATCTTCCAATTCGAAACTTTCTGCCGTCATTGACAAATACATAGGACATAAAGTTTTACAGGAACAAAGTTTGCGTCAACTAAGGTTAATGTTTGCTAAAGTGTTTGAGTTTACTAAAGCTGAAAACTCTGCATTCGAATGAACAATAGGCAAACCAGCAGAGAATGTGTTATTTATACGCATAAGTATCTTTTGGTCATAGTAGTTTCTGTCGACATTCGAATAACACTTTGAACCTAAGTTTGAAACAATATATAAAATAGGTGTACTTAAAGTCAATGGAACAGACATTCCTTGTATGACACCTTTTCCTGTTATAGGAAATTGTTGGTAGTAAAAACCAGATATAAGTTTTGTATTATAGCTCATATTGTTTATAGTAAACTCAGTCGGACATCCAAACATAATGAAACCTGCTCTAGTTGCAGCACATTTTACACCCGTACTTAAAGTATTAAATAAGTCAACAAAACCTGTTGGTGGTATATCTGAGTAAGTATCTTCAAAGGAGTATTTTTTACCATTCACAACAATAAAATCTTCTGGTGTCAAAAGAGCAAAACAGGCTTTAGTCGTCATTGTGTTTAAAGTTAGTTTACAATATCGTCCTTGAGGACTTTGTAAGTTTGTTGTTATAGAATTATATGACTCAGGGTTTTTAGTCGTAATAGTATAAACCATTGTGTCTTCTGCCATTTACTTAGCAAATAAATTTTAATGAAATGTTGTGGTCGTCAAATATTTTTATAACGTCTGGGAAACTATATTTTAAGTTCAACGTTTCACCTCCTTTCATAACGTATATCTTGTCAATGACATTATATGAAACACCACAGCAACTAACGTCGGGTTCTATTTCTTTGATGTTTATATCGTCTGCCTCTGTCAAAAGTTTCAATAGTTCTTTCAAAACTTCATGAGGTGCAATGACATATGAGTTCACTTTTACAGGGTTGTGTTCGACCAAGTTTAACATTATACCTAAAGCTTGACAAATCTTCTCCTGAGTTTGAAGTTTGTCTTTCAGTTGTTGGTAGTCGTTTCGAATATCTGCAACAGAACTTAAGTCTCTGCTAACTTCAGGGTATGTTGGTTGTTCTTTTACAGGAACTATTGTTATACCATCTTCGTCCTCGTATGGTTTCCCCACTTCAACATCTCTGTCTTTGACATTGACAATAACACTTTGACTGTTTGTTTGAGTTGGTGAATTTAACTTCACATCTGCCACCGCCATTAAACCTTTTGAAACACTTACGCTTCTATTTTTCGGAAATGACATTTTACTTAGAATAAAAAGATGGACGTATTCGAGTATCTCTTCGAATTGAAGCAAAACAAAGTTTACACACACAAACAATACAAATACATTGACAGAATAGTTCTTTATACAAACAATGGAAAATGTTATAGAATAGCAGTCTTTGCTGAACCAAAATATTTTCATAAAGCAAAGAAAGTTGGTATAACCGAAATGGTGAAAGTTCTTGAAGCAGACAAAAATATAACAACAAAACTGACGATATTTCTAAAGGAAAGTTTATAATACAATATTATGTCAAAACTGGCGTACTGTCAATATTTGACGGAGAGAAGTCAGTTCAAGAACAACTTACTGACCTGCTGCCAAAATCTGCTCGATGGAAGCTGTCGTTATGCCAATCTGAGGAGCCCCAGCAGGTTTCATCGAACGAATCTTCAAAAGAGCATCTTCCGTGAAAAGTGCTATTGGTTTTGTAAACTTCTTTGCTTTCAATTCATCTGGACCGTCTCTGTCACCAGTATATTGTATTTGAACTGTACCAACAGTTGAAATACCACCCATAAAGTCTTCTGAGTCAGCAAATGGAATGCCAAGCCAAAAGTTTGAACGGTCTCCATTTGTATATTGAGTTTTTTGACCTCCTGTATGAGTCCATACTTTCACATATGGCATAATAGAACTTTGCATTTCAGGGTTAATGGTTGTTGTGAAGTTGTTGTTAAAGTTCATAGCATCTAATGTCAAGTTGTATGACCTCATATCCTCAACTGTAGAATATTCTTCTCTTGGATAATATTTGCCATCTATGTTTATATGATATTTAATACCGGGGTTGTAGAAACAAGAATAGTCATTTATAGTTCGTCTGAACAGTACAAACATAGTATCTGCATGTTTCATTGCAGTTGTTAAGGCAATATCTGTTCTTGCACCTGGGTCAGCACTTTGGTTTCCAACTTCACCTGCAAAGTCTTTGACAGATATTTGGTGTATAGGGAACATAAGTGGAACTGCAATATATTTGGCAGCTAAAGCATTTGAAATATCTGGGTCCAACATATAGACTGCAAGTCTGCTTTCTATTCTCTTGCATTCAAATTTTTCGCATGTGAACTTAACTGGGTCCCAAGCAGTTCCAGCAGCATTGAAATAATAGTTTACTTCAGTGTTGAAGTTTGAGAAACCAAAGTCTAAGTCAACTTTGTCTTTGCAAAAGTCACAGAACTTGGCTCCACCAGTTCCAGCTACAGTAAGAGTGAATGGGTCTTGTGTTGGTGCAATGACTAAGTTATTTTTGCTTGGAGTAAGTTCGATAGAAATTTTTCCTGCCCAGTTTGGCAAGTATCTTAAAAACCTGAAGATGAGGAAAGATGACAAAGGAACTCTAAGTTTCAGTTTTACTTTAGTGACAGCATTTCCATCTGAACCAGAAAGGTTAACATAAACTCCTGGAACGTTAGGGTCAAGTCTTCTTATTTTCTCAATAGTTGCATATTGGTCTGTTTGTTCTCTAGCTTGTGGTTGTACTGAGTTTCTCAAAGCGAACCATTCATAGTTTGCCCATGTTACTGTTTGAACTAAGTCAGAGTTAGAATATATCTTATATCCCATGAAAACTTCTGGAGCATATTGGTATCCGACATAGAAAATTCCATTGCAACCTTTCTTGTCAGACAACTTGGCAGAAGGTTTTATTTCAATGTCTTGTTCCACGTATAAGAATGAGTTGTCAATAGAAATAATATGAAACCTGTCGCAAGCAATATCTACTGTTGTTGAAGAACCTTCTCCAAACTCACCTACATTTCCATAAGAAACAGCAGTTGTATATTCGTAAGTTCCAGGAACTATTTCTGACCTTCTAATGGCATTGTCGCATTCGTTATACCATTCGGAAACATTTCCGTTCATGGCATCCAAAACTGTTGGCGTTATATTCTGAGCGGCGTACATTTCATATGGGTAAAAATATAGAATAGTTGGATTTATGTGTCATAATAGAACCCACTCGGACCAAGCTTTACTTTCTTCCTGACTGAGTTTTTAACTCTTCTTTTTCCTTCATTGCCACTACTTTCACTAGATGAAGTTACTTCTTCACTATTTTCACTTTGTTCTACTCTTCTTCTTTGGTGTCGCTTTTGGTAACTTGCCCTCTGCTTCAAGTTGTTGCATCTTTGCCTCATGTTCACCTAGTATGTTGTAAATTTCCCATGTCCTTTTTGCCTTTGGGCTCTGGTCGCCCATCTCAGGTAACCTATATCCTAGAAAGATTTTGTCATAGTTTGTATTTGAGTCTTCGCGTATTGTTTGCATGACTCTTTCCTGAGTTTCCGGTTCAAGCTCTTCAAACAGAGCTTGTCCATATGGAATAAGCTCGTTTCCAAATATATGTTTTTGTAGCCATTCTGGTTTTCTTTCCATGTTACCAATATATCTTTTGTGAATGGGAAAGCTTTTACCCAATGTTTCAGGCTTGCGTCATTTATTTCTGTAGTTGGTTTTATTTTGTCAAGGAACATGTTTTTCAATACTAACATTTCATTTGGTACTGTCCATTTGAGTTTTCTTAAATATTCATCCCTTCTCGGTTCATTGTCTGCAAAGTAAGTTTTTATGACATTTTGTAAACTTTCGTTTGCAAGGTCATGTACAATAGGTTCTCTTCCTTCTCTCCCTAACTTCTTTCTAAACTCTTCACCAAATATACCATCTTTATGGTTCTGTGTAGTTCTTTGAGATAAATTTCTAGAACGTCAGGTGTTATATTTCCATCAGCCATGTTCATTTCATACTGGTCCAAAATATCTGCATGTTTCATATCTTTCAATGGCATTAAAGCCGCGCTGAAAATACCAGCTATATCTGGTTCACCATTCACTTCCATTGCGTCTACAACTTCTTGGAATTGTGGTTGTAAGTTTATGAACCACCTATCCGGGTTAGCTTTATGACCCCATCTCATTGTAGTTCCATAGTCTGCAGAAACAAAAGTAGGTTTGTTTCCATATTGGCTAGGTTCTGAATGAACTTTAAACAATGTTTCATTTCTATATGTTTTGTTGAAATTTAACCTTTTATTTTCACCGAGTTCAGCCAAAGATTGAACGTTATATGGTCGTAAGTAAAAAGGGTTATTGTATTCGCGTACATTTTCTTTCAGTACTTCCATTCTATGCTGAATATTTTCATCTGGTGTTGGAGTCTTTTGTATGTCGGCAAACATTTTTCGATATTTTTCTACTCTGTCAGCCGAATTTTTCTTAGACTCTTGGAAAGATTCCATATTCACCTCATAGTCTTGTTGAGGGTCAAGATTTTTCGGCTGTTCCAAATCTTCATCTAGTTCTGTGAAGTTAGTTTCCAAAGGAGGGACTTGTTCGTTTCCTTCAGGCTCTTCTAGCTGTTGTTGCTGAACTATTTCTTCCATGTCTGGTTGTATCTGAACTTCTTCCTGTGGAGTTTCTTGTACCTCATCTGCTGGCATTTCATATATTCCGAGACCGTTTTTAAAAAGTTCCCTATCTAAGTCATCCGGACTCATAAACCTTTCTTCTTTCGTTCCGTCTCTATTTTTTACGCGTTTCATGAAGAGAGTTGAATTGTCATTTAGCTCTGACACCAAATATCTCGGAGTAAATTCAGTCATGTCATTTGGATGATATGCTATTAAATCATATCCCTTAGCGAGCTTGTATTTTCCAGGTTTGAAATTATATCCCATTTGGTGCTGAGCCATAAAGCTAAATAGGTTCGGGTCAGTATTTCCTTCCTTGAACTTTCTAATAGCTTCTTTATATCTGTCACTAAAGTCAAGAGTATCTGGGTAACCATAGTCTTCTTTAAGCATTTTTAAGAAATCTTGGTTTCCTTGTTCTCTACTTCTTTTATGTCCTTGCTCTGTTTGTGGTTGTTGTTGTGCAGGGTTTTGAACTGTTGGTTGCTGTGCTGGTTGTGGAGGTGGTTGTTGTGCTGGTTGTTGTTGTTGTGCTGGATTTTGAACTGTTGGTTGTTGTGTTGGTTTTGGTGCATGCTTGTGTCTGTGTCCATGTGACGATGTAAATGTTTTAGGTAGTCCTGGTGCAGGTGCTTCTCTTGGAGGGTTTGGTGGTATATAAGTTCCACCAGCTGGCACATATGTTCCATCTGCAGCATAATGTCCTACCTGACTTTTCGTTTTTAAGAAAGCATTTACTAGGTCTGTTTTGGTCTGTTGTAACTCTTTTTCTTGACTTTCCACAACAGTTGCTCTAACGGCGTCATAGGCACTTTGAACTGCCTGTCTCGTTGCTGCATCTGTTATTTTCGTCATATTTTTGTGCTACTTCTTTTAACTCTTTGTCGAAACCTTCAGACTTCAGTTTTCTTTCCAGATGAGAAGTCGTTCACTTGTTTCACCTTACTATGAAGAGCTTCGAAGGCGTTCTTAAAGTCAGCATTTGTTAAAGCTTCATTTGAACTGTCTTCATCCGCTTGTATTTTTGTCTTATTGACCCTATAAGTTGGGCTGCTTTGGCGTTGGCTTGGGCATCTAACCAGTCATTGTTAGCTTTTATATATTCTGCGCTTTTCATTGCCTTTTGCATGGCTGCGTCGTTATTTTTACTTTCTTGTGCTAAGTTTTCATACTGTACGGTTTGGTTTTGCAACTGTAAAAGTTTTTCTGCCTTTACATTTGCTTCAACTTCTTTTTTATACTCATCGCTATCCATATATGTCTTCAGGGCTTTTTGTTTATCTCTTCATCTTTCAGTACTTTATATTGAGTAGTATGGTTTTTCAAATTTATAACATCTGTTCCATTTTTGCTACTTCTGCTGCTTTTTCTGACACTTTTTTCGCATATTCCTCTGTACTTAGTTCTTTCAGTTGTTCTTCTTTCTTCTTTTTCTCTACGTTTAACTCATTGAGTTTCTTTGCGTGTCTGTCATATTCTAGTTTCTTTTCGTTTTCACTTATTTGCTTTGTATGTCTATGTTTGACTTTTTGACATCTGATATTTTGATTTTTGAGTGAACTCAAATTCATTTGACTTTGAGGGTTATAGGCTGTTCCGTCTGCAGCTCCACCATAGCCTGCCATTTTCGCTAAAAGTGCGCTCTTAAACCTCCACTCTGTGCACCAAGAACTCGGTTTAAAAGCATAGGATTGCTTGACATTTGTTGCAACATAGTGGGGTCATTCATTATTTGTTGTTGCAACTGTTGTTGTGGTGTCAGTTTTACAATATTTTAGGTAGAAGGGTATATCTAACCCTCTTTTCTAACCTCATTTTTACCCTCTTGAATTTTCATGAATTTCTTCGTAAAGACTTTTGTTAAGACTTCTTCGTAAAGACTTTGTAGACTTCTCTTCGTAAAGACTTTGTTAGACTTCTTCGTAAAGACTTTGTTTAAAGACTTCTTCGTAAAGACTTTGTTGAGACTTCTTTAAGTTCGTAAAACTTGTCAAGACTTTCATCGTAAAGACTTTTGTTGAGATTTCTTCGTAAATGACCCTAGTAGTATATTTTTGGTGTAAATTTCATGAAAATTCAAGAGGGTAGAAAAGAGGTTAGAAAGAGGTTAGATATACCCTTCTACCCTAAAATTATATTTGGTGTAAATTTCATGAAAATTCAAGAGGGTAGAAAAGAGGTTAGAAAAGAGGTAGATATACCCTTCTACCCTAAAAAATATATTTTTGGTGTAAATTTCAGAAAATTCAAGAGGGAGAAAAGAGGTTAGAAAAGAGGTAGATATACCCTTCTACCCTAAATATATTTTTGGTGTAAATCTTTCATGAAAATTCAAGAGGTAGAAAAAGAGGTTAGAAAAGAGGTTAGATATTACCCATTCTACCCTTAAAATGATATTTTTGCGTGTAAATTTCATGAAAATTCATGAGTAAAATGACAGATGTTATAAATTAAAAGAGACCTTCAATCCGGTTTGATCAGTGACTCTTAAATTTTGCTACTCAACATCAGGCATAGAAGCACAAGTCCTGGAAGCCCACTACCCTTTTTTTTTTTTTTTTTTTTTTTTTTTAAGTTAAATGAAGGAAATTACAAAATTCAATTACATAATTTAAGATCGTTGAAAATTCCAAATGAATTGTTAGATACGTATATGTTAGAAATATATGAATTTGTTATAATTCTCCAGATTATATTTTAGAACATTTCGAAGAATTTTTAGAGGGATTTCAAAGAAAAGAATAATTATAATAGACTAAAAAATTATTATTTTATTTTATTGTGAATTTTAAATTGTCACTTTTAAGTGTTACTCCCTATTGAAAGGTACTTTTTGGGTGTCACTTTTTCGCGAAATTCTTATAGACTCGCATTGAAACATCCAATAGTAA